TTGGGAGTTTTTTTACTATAAGTGAGGTATTTTGGGTGTTCAAGTTATGGGAAAATTTTTCGGATTTTGGGGGTTGATTCTCTAAAGTTTTTTCTATAAAATACAGCAAATTGGGTGTTTCTATCTCGATTAGTTTTCGAAAAAATTAAATTGCATTAAAATTAGCGGTTTGGATGTACTCCTTAAAAATCGAAATATCTTGAAAATTAGAAGGTTTTCGAAAAATGTTGATTCCTCAAAAGTTGTAGAAAATCGTTTTTTTTTGTAAACTGGAGCAAGCAGAATGATTCTATCTTAATTAGTTTTCGAGATAATTGCGATACTTGATAGAGTTGCAATAAATTTAATAAATTTGATGTTACCCGAAAAAAACTCGAAATATTTCGAAAATTAGGTGAAACAGTTGCAGAAAAATGTTTTTTATACAAACTACAGTAAAAATTATGTCTCTAGTTCAATTACTTTTCGAGATAATTGAAGATTTCTTTGAGACAAACCTAACTCCAACATCACTTTAAAAATGTGTAATTTTAAATAAGTGAAATTGGAAAATTAAATTATATATTGTACGGTTCAAGAATAATATTTTCCTTATAAAAAGTAACGATAATGAATGAGAAATTTTAAAATTGCGAACGAAAATGCGAAATTAGCCGCGATTTTTTCCAATTTCCGCGGAAGCATCGGGAAAAATTGAAATATCGCCGAACCGTAAGGACTCGGGAAAATAGCGCAAATTGGATAGCAGGAAAATGAAATTTTCACTAAAAATTAAATTTCTAAATTAAGTAGTTTTCCAGCGAGAAATTTAATTAAAAATGTTCAAAGATATCACTTAATTATACAGAACTAAATAAAAAATGCTCTTATACATATTTACAAATTCCAGGGGTGATATTACACCCACTTGACCCTTCGGGGATTATTTTTATACGGTTTCTCACAGCCCAGCAAATCCCGTTAACATATTTAAATCCGCAGATATTTATTTATACATATTATAAAGAACAAAAAACCGCTCATGAGCGAGTTCACATTTAAAATTCGAAATTATCGAACTGTATATAAATCGAAAAGGGGTCGCTCGCTCGGAAAAATTTCACCCTTTTCGCCAATTTCATTTCTAATCTAACATTTTATTTCATCAATTTAAATTAACCCGTTTTCGAATTTTTGACTGGATATAATTCGAGGGCACGTTAAACAATAAAATCCAGTCAAATGAACCTGTTATAAACGCTCCTAAATTAACCAGAGTGTGGAAAACTCATACGAGGATACATAAAAATTAATTAGAACTGTCCAGAATTAACTCATAACTGTTCAGAATAATTCAGAACGCTTCACAGAACAGTAGATTAAAAGTGTTCAGGATTAATTAGAACGTTTCATAGTAAATTAGTACTGTCCACAAAAACTTGAAACGATTCAGATTGAATTAGAACGTTTCAGAATGAATTAGAACTGTTCAAAATGACTTAGAACTGTTCAGAATGAATTGGAACTATCCAGAACGAATTTAGAACTATTCAAAACAATGTAGAACACTTTAGGGTGATTTGGAGCTTCCAAGAACGAATTCTCTTCATAGAACTGTTCAGAACACTTCAGAATCAATCTAGAACAGTCCAGAACCGTTTTAATAAAATAATTTAGGGTATGATATACAAAAAAAAAAAATGATACGCCCCTGCAGGATATCATCCTGATGTCACTCTCGTTGCGGAATATTTTAAATAAGTACTGCGACGCTAACCATTTTGCCTAATTGGGGTGTGTACATGTAGGGGTGATTTTTTTTTCATATTTTGCTACACATATCAAACGATATACAGGAGTCGTGTGTTTGAGGTATATGCTCAAATTGCGTGAGCAAGCGAGTTTATAGAGCAATTTTTTTTCGTATGAATTTCGTGCGTTTTTCGCGCAAAAAACGCGAATATAAATTTTATCGCTCGATCGAGTTTACGAGTACAGAGTTTTTTTTATCGGACGATATGAAATAATTAAATGACTATATAGAGCGTTCTAAACGATTCTAGACAGTTTTAAATGATTCTGGACAGTTCTAAATGATTAGGGAGCGTGACTATAAAAGTCTTGTATTGTGTAGGGTTTTGTATAAATATAGAGGTTTTTTGGGAGTTAATTTACTATATGCGAGGTATTTGGGGTGTTCAAGTTTTGGGAAAATTTTTCGGATTTTAGGGGTTGATTTTCTAAAGTTTTTTCTATAAAATAAAGCAAATTGGGGGTTTTCTATCTCGTTCAGTTTTCGAGATAATTGCGATTAAATTGCTTTATAATTACCGATTTGGATGTAGGTACTCCTTAATATCAAAATATCTTGAAGATAGATGGTTTTGGAAAATTTTTGATTCTTTAAAAGTTGTAGAAAATCGTTTTTTCTATAAACTGATGAAAGCAGAATGTTCTTATCTTAATTAGTTTTCGAGAAAATTGCGAGATTTTGGTAGAATTATACTAAAATTAAGAATTTTTACCTAACCCAAAAAAACTCGAAAATTAGTTGAATTTCGAAAATTTTTGATTCTTCAGAAGTCGTAGGGAAGCAGTTTTTCTACAAACTACAATAAACACGATGTCTGTATAATAAGTAGTTTTCGAGATAATCGCGATATTTGTTAGAATTGCACTAAAATTAATAATTTTTGTATGATCCATAAAAACTCGAAATATCTCGAAAATTAGGCGATTTTCTAAATTTTTTAATTCTCCAAAAATTGTAGAGAAACATTTTTTCTGCGATGTAGTTGATTTTAAGCCCGATTACGTGGCTATATAGTAGATTATACAAGAGCTTACCAGGCTATAATAGAGCATATAGCTCGCTAGTATTCGGACAAATTGTCTATTAAACCCTCTCTCGTGTATTAATCCTAGTTAGATTTACAAAACGACAATCTAACCGGGGACTGTTATTCAAAATTACGCCGAAATTAATCTAGTAAATCAAATTGCGGTCGAAGTCCCGATATCCCAGCCAGCCGTGGAAACAACAGCGCGAAATTCGAAGAATTCATCAATTCTAACGTTCAATTTGTAGAGAATTTGATTGAAATTTTTCCATTAATCAGCACGACTCATAATTAAATAGTCTACATTAATAAAATTACCCTTAATAAGTAGGTATGTATATTTATACAGGGTGTCCCGTATAAGAACCGACATAGAGCAGGGGGGTCTCCAGGGAAGTCCAGAATGAACTGTTTCGAATGAATCTGACTGAATCGACCAAATAATGATTTATAAATTAAGAGCGATATCTTATTCGAATTAGTTTATTGCTTATTTATTCGATTTGGTCTCTAAATGTTTAGAATTATGGATTAATTATAAAAGTAAACCGGGTTTTTCAAACAATAGACGAAAATAAACTTTAAACTCAAAAGGAATATTAGCTCACCTATTTTGTTGTCGAAAGCTGCTTAATATTGTTCCAGAACATCACTATAACGACCAAGAATTAACTAAACTAAGAACAAAAACAATCAAATAAATCACTAAAGTCTAATTACAAATATCTCTTTAACCCCGATTATAGTCAAAACAATACAATTCGCACTAGAAAACGATCGGTATCGATAATGTTTTTCTAAAGCTGGAAGGCGGAGGGGGAAATTTTTAGCTTGCTGATAAAATACATCGAATCTGTTTTTTTTTGAGTTAAAAATCCAATCAGCTGATTATTTAGGCCAGGATTGTATTCGCTATATTATAATTTTTTTAGAAAAATAAAATCTGCGAATCGCTCTCAAATTATACAAACTACCACCCCTAAAATTTAGCGCCAAAAGTTCGAGAACACCCTGTACATAAATAAAGCTATAAATAAATTCACGTCTAATTCTCCGTTTTGTTGATTTAAGTAGGCTTTGTAAAAAGTGAAAATATCGAAAAACAGAAACGTTCCATATTCCAGTTTGGGGAAATCGAGATACATATGTAAAAATTCGCGAAAAAAAAATGCGTATATGGAAATTTATAGTCGCAGAGGCGCCTGCATATTTATGCCCTCGTGTTTCTGTACGTTTGTATATGTAAAAAAGTTAGGCCTCCCCCGGGCCAATCAGTCGGTGGTCCCGTTTTGTTGTCTTTTTATTTATTGCGCCCGGTTCCTTTTAATCCCACTTCTGCGGGGATTTCGTCCACGAATATTCGAATATATCATTCATGCGACGGAAAACGGGATAGAAAGTGCATTCCGCGATTTCAAAAATTAATTCGTTTTGAAGTTTTGACTTTATTTTCCTTTTATTAGTCTATCAACGTGAATTTAAAACCGAGATAGCAGCGACACCTCTTAGAAATCTGTCAAACTTCCACTGATTTTAATGACAGGTTTCTAAGTAATTCTGCCGCTTGGAGTGCTAGTGTCGATTACTTCAAGATAGAAAAATGACATATTTTGAAGCTCATAAATAGATTTTCGTCTTTAGTATTGACATTTTATGCATAATTAATAGCATAATAAACATACCTTTTTGCAGAAATCTGTCCATTAGAGTCCTTGTGCACCCACTCACAAATGACATGACCCGTTCGGGATCAGAATGGTTGTCCTTGTTGTCGTATTCCAAATGTTCTTTTTGTCACACGAAAAATCGAATGTCCTTTCGCGTCGCGTTGCATTTCGTTGCACAATTTTGCAATACACACCGTTTCGATGAACCGTTCTAAACACCGGTTTTCATTACGTTCTTGCTACGAAAGGTTATGTTGAAATTTTTAAAATTAGGGTATTCGATACTAGCGCCGCACTTTCGGGAAATGACCGCTAATCAGCGCCACCTCTACCGCCGATATTCTATCGAGTTTCGTAAAGTAAAGTCTCTAAAACTCTTTCGCGAGTAATAAATTTTCACGAGAAACTCACAAAATGTTCCTTTCATTCGAATTGTTTGTGCTGATCTGATACCTGCAAAGTAAAAGATTGGTAGAATTAGAAGAAAAAGAAGAATCGTTGACGTAATGGTGACACATGACATATCGATCAGTCTTTCAGAATTTTGACAGTTCCCAAACAACACTTTCAAGTACGTAAAATCCGATAAATCCGTAAATATTTAACGCATCGGCGAGTATTTTCGACGAAAATACGTCTATTTCGCTACAATAAACCTTTCTCGATAACATTTCATCCATTTTATCCCGATATTTACGCATTACACCAAGTATAACCTCGAAAATACCACAAAGTATGTAACCCCATTAAAACTATTTTGTTCGTTTCAGGATGTTGATGCCGAAAAAAAACAGGGTGGCGATTTACGAATATCTATTCAAGGAAGGCGTCATGGTAGCCAAAAAGGACTACCACGCACCCAAACACCCCGATTTGGGCGAAACCATTCCCAACCTACAGGTAATCAAAGCCCTGCAATCCTTAAAATCCAAAGGATACGTTAAGGAACAATTCGCCTGGAGGCATTACTACTGGTACGTACAGAGTGTTTATCAAACCCGTTACCGCGATATTTACGATGTTAAACTCGTAGGTACCTGACCAATTCGGGCATCGAGTACCTCAGGACGTTCTTGCACTTGCCCCCCGAGATCGTGCCTTCGACTCTGAAGCGACCGGCCAGGACGGAGACCAGCAGGCCGAGACCGGCGGCGCTCCGGACCGAGGCCTCGAAGCCCTCCGAGGACAGGACCGGTTACAGGAGGAACCCCGGTGGCCCGGGCAACGACAAAAAGGCGGACGTGGGGCCCGGCACCGGCGACGTGGAGTTCAGGCAAGGTTTCGGACGAGGCAGGGCTCCTCAGTAAATTTTTTTGATGTATGTTTCGGTACCGGTCGAGCGGGTATCGAGATGTTATTGTAAGTTCTTTATAAAATTAAACTTAAAATAACGAAGTTATTGGTTGTTTTCTTTTTGATCGTGCTGTATATAAAAATAATCACTTTTTCCATATTTATTCAATTTCTTCGACACACGCACACATCTACTTAAAAAATAGATTATCTCGAATGTATCTAACATCTATCTTAAACTTTTAGATAAATAACAATTAAAGCTCTAAATTTAGGTACTGTAGTGTAGATAAAAAAAACAGAAAAATCAACAAAACTATACAAATTGTAAATTTACAATAATAAAAAAAGGGTCTTAACTTATCTTACGAATACTGGGAGTTGAAGGTTCGGGGGAATTTACTTTTTCTTATGTAAAATTCGTTTATTTGGGGGGTTAAGGGACGTTGCCCGCTGCTGGGTAAGCGTAAATTGGGAGATTTTCGATGGGATGAGTTTGCAGGTGAATGAGGGATTGGAAAAATCGACGTTTCGACTGTACGAGAGGTCATCTTCAGCTATCGTGCTTAAATATCAATTCTTAAAAAAATACGGTTTCGAACAATTTATAACTACTAGTTAAATCTCTTACGGACTATTTAGAATCTTATTTAACGATGTTTATGTTGAAAATATCTTAAACTTTTAACGAGAATGGTAAAAAAAATCGAAATTTCAAATTCGCCGTGCCATTATAATAAATAGAGCAATATTATAAAATTTGCATTAAAATATCGAGATTTTCAACAAAATAAAAACTATATAAATATACCTTTTCGAATACATTTATAAATCGTCGAGGAGACTCGCCGGTGCATTTGAACTACTGTGCGTATTCGACTTGTACTTGTCCAATATCTTGTTGACGTATTCGGTCGTTTGACCGGCTATCCTGATTTCTGAAACGTCAATTAATCGATTTAATTACAAAAAAAAAAAAAATATCTCGACTTACTGGATGCGTTTTTGAAGTTCTTCTCCAGAGCCACGGTGAGTTCATCCTGCTTCTCCTGCGATTGCTCGCCCAATTTGGCGTTCAAAATTTGCTTGGCGTTATGAATGCCGTGCAGAAGTCGCTCTGAAATTCGAAATTTTCAGCGTAAGAAATATTTAAATCCATAAAAATTAGACACCATTCATTACTCTATAAAACGAAATTTCTTTCGTCGTTTTATCTCCATTAGTTCCAAAGTTACCAAGAGATGAATAGAGAATATATACAGTAGAGTGAAGGAAGTACAGAATAGAGAGAAGTAAGAGTAGAATGTAAAATGAAGGGAGTAATGTGTAGAATAAAGGCAGTAGAGTGTAAGGAGTAGAGAATAGATAGTAGAGTGTATAAAGAAGATTCTAGAATGTATAAAGAAGATTGTAGTGTATAAAGAAGGGAGTAGAGAGTATAATGAAGCAAGTAGAGTAGTGAGTAGATGGTAAAGTGCATAATGAAGAGAGTAGTGCGTAGAATGAAGTCAGTAGAGGGTAGGGAGTAGAGAATAGATAGTAGAGTGTATAAAGAAGATCGTAGAATGTATAATGAAGGAAATAGAGTGTATAAAGAGGGAGTAGAGAGTATAATGAAGCGAGTAGAGTATAATGAGTAGATAGTAGAGTGTATAATGAAGGTAGTAAAGTGTACAAAGAAGGAAGTAGACTGTATAATGAAGCGATTAGAGAACGTAGAGTAGAATCTGTAATGATTCTCATTCGATCCGAATAATATCCTTACTATGTTCGACCTCCAAACCGCTCAATTTGATCTTGTTAGCCTCGTGCTGGGCCTTCTTCTTGAGCCTGCACGCCCTCGATGCCAATTTGTTCTTCTCCTTGCGCGAAGTAGGCCTGACGTTGAACGGCAACTCGCTGACGGGCGTCATGTCGGTGATGATCCTGTTCAATTTGTCCAATTCCTTGCCGATGCTGAACAATTTCCGGGCGTTCGGCGTCAGGTCGTTACCGTCACCTGGACAAATAGAAAAAAAAGAGGTAAAATATATGTTCTGGAGCGTTCTAAATGATTCTGGATCGTTCAAAACGAATATAGAGCGTTCTAATTGGTTTTAAACAATTCTAAATGATTCTGCATAGTTCTAAATAGCTCTGAAGCGTTCTAAATGATAGTTCTATAGCGTTATAGATAGTTCTAAATGATTCTGGAGCATTCTAAACGGTTCTAGAACAAGTCTAAATGATACTGGAACGTTCTAAATGATTCAAGACAGTTCTAAATGCTTCTGACAGTTTCTAAATGATTCATTCCAAATGAATCTAAACTGTCTTAAATGATTCTAGAACGTTCTAAATGATTTTGGAGCATTCTAAGTGAATCCAGACAGTTCTAAATGATTCTAGATCATTCTAAATGATTCTGGAGCGTTCCAAATGATTCTGGAGCGTTCTTATTAATTTTAGAGACTTCCAAATTATTCTGGAGCCTTCTAAATCATTCTAGACATTTCTAAATGTTTCTGGAGCATTTTGAATGGTTCTAGGCACTTCTAGATGATTCAGGAGCGTTCTAGACAGTTTCTAAATAGTTCTAAAACAAGTCTAAATGATTCTGGAACGTTCTAAATGATACTGGAGCGTTCCGAATGATTCTAGACAGTTCTAAACGATTCCGGAACGGTCTTCGCTACCTTTTCTCGCCTTGCCGCTGTGCTTGATGCCTCTCACGGAGCAATCGGGGCTGAAAACGGGATCGGTGATCTCGTGCAAACGATGCGGATCCTCCAATTTCGTCTTCATGACGAGCCTCTGCCCTTTGGGGCCCTTCGCTTGGACGTTGTACTGCCAAAAGTACCGTTCCTTCTTGCTGTTCGAATGCCTGCCGTGCTTGTCATCGTCATCATCATCGGAATCTGCATCACGCGTATTATAACAACGATTTTATTTAGGTACTCGAAATGATATTTTATTATACAGAGTGTTCTAAAATGATATGCTAATATTTTAGGGGGTGATTCTTGGGCCCATTTTAGGAAAAAAACTTTATATGGACTTATGTCCTAAACGTCTTAACTTTTGAGATACAGGGTGTTAAAGTTTTTAGAAAAAAAATTCATTTTTTTTGTAATAACTGTGATACTATTGTAGATTTCTTTATGAAATTTGGCACACGTTTTCTATGAATCAAGATGCATTTTCTGATGTACAAATGATTTTATTATTTTCAGCAGTGGCGTCCGTACGGGTTTTACATTGAATATTTTAGGAGAAAAAAGTGGCACGCCACTGCCTAATATTGAAATAAAAATTATTTTCGGAATCCTCATTCAATTTAGAACAAATTTGATCTCTTGACTTTTTTCCGTACGACTCATCGTTTCGCATTACAATAAATAAATTCGTTCATTTGTACGCTTCTTAAACATTAGCATTAGTCATTTTGGAACGTCCTGTATGTATATAGATTATTAAACTACCGTTTTCGGAAGACATGTCCTCGTAATGGCCGTCGCTGTCTTCATCGGTATCTTCGTCTTGCGACAGATCGGGCAACTCCGGGCTCAATACTCCTCCGGTAGATAACGAAGAAGTCGAACCGGCCTCCGCAAGAGACCCCGTCGAGAGCAGGTGCTTGCGGGGCTCCCGCCTCTGCCACAGCTGCTCGAAACCCAGGTGAGTCGGCGCCGACGAGGACAACCTGTATAACAATATCGCAGAACATTACTATCGTACACCCGAAAATGTGCCATTTAAAACGCTGAACTATGATGGGACAATCTGTATAGCGAACGATTAAAACACTACGGGACAATATGCATTTCTTCTTTTTAATTTCTAAACAATAAAAGTGAACCCGAAAGTGAATTTCAACCCGGCAACGTTGCAACATGTTGGCTTGTGACGTCATTGCGTAGCGAGCGCGAATGTCCTTTACCTTCCTACCCATTAAAACAGTGTGGGACAATCTGTATATCGGGTTACTTACTCGGCGGTGGTGGGGCGGGCCGATTTGTGGCCGAAGGCGGCCGATCGGGCGAGCGAGTTCCGTTCGGGAAACGACTGGCCCAGCACGCTGTGATCGGGCGAATCGTTATACGGGACGTCCTTCTTGACCAAGAGGTCCTGCAGGGCGCTGCGTTTCGGCGGGAAATTCGACGGGGACGAGAGCGAATGGACGAGCGACGAGCTCGAACTGGTCTGGCTCTCCGGCGAAAAGGCCGTTTTGTACAATTTGTTGTAATTATCCGGTGTACCTGGAACGATGATCGATAGTTCGTGGAATTCTAGCGTTATACAGGACGATTCGATGCATATATAATGTACTTTTATCATTTTTTTATAGTAATTTTAATTATACAGGATGTCCCGTCGCGGAGTTACATCCCAACATTTATGGGACATGCTATATAGTATATACAAGGGTACGGTGAAATGTACTCGGTTCGTAAATGAAAGACCGCGATTTTCAGCTGAAAAAACTACATTATTCTTCTTATTTAGTCGAAATCTTTAGTTCGAGACGGTTCTAATCGATTCTAGAGCGTTCTAAATAATTTTTAGACAGTACTAAATGATTCCGGAGGGTTCTAATGATTTTAGACAGTTCTAAATGTTTCGGAAGCATTTTAAACGATGGTTCTAAATGTTTCTGGAGCATTCTGAATGATTCTAGACACTTCGAGATGATTCAGGTTTGTTCTATTCGGTTCTAGACAATTTTAAATGGTTCTCGAAGCGTTCTAAACGATTCTGGAGCGTTTTAAATGACACTGGATCGTTCTGAATGATTCTGGAACGTTCAAAATAATGTTAGACAGTACTACATAATTCTGGAGCGTTTTAAATGGTTCTGGATCGTTTCAAATGATTCTGGAGCGTTCTAAATGGTTCTTTCTAGACAGTTCTAAATGATTCTAGACAGTTCAAAATGATTCAAGGCAGTTCTAAATGTTTCTGGAGCATTTTGAATGGTTCTGGACACTTCTAGATGATCCAAGAGCGTTCTACGTTGTCCTAGACAGTTCTGAACGATTCAGGACGAGAACTTATCACCCTACCCTCGTATTTTTGTATAATATACATATATGTACGCAACGAATGGTCCTGTATAAATGAATGTATCCTGTGATTACCGAATTGTATGGAGGTTGGAACGTCGAGGTCCTTGTTATAGAGCAGTCCTTGAGAGGGCAAAGACGTAACTGGATTATTGTTAAATCGATGGCTGGCGTATTGGGAATTACCTTTTTCCAGGATTATATAAGTGTTTTCTTCGGGTAACAGTAAATCGTCGAAATTCAAGTCGCCTGAAATGTAAATTTTCAACTCAAAAATCCCCCCAAAAAAAATTAACAATTACCTAATAAATTATCATCGTTGGCGTTGAGCTCGGCCAACGTGGGCCCCTGTATCAAGTCGGCCTTGTCCACTTGGAAAATATCATCGTCGTCCATGCTGTGTATGAACGCTTCGGATTTCAGCATTTCATCGTTGTAAATCAGCCGATTCAACGACGGCGAGTCGCCCTGAAAGGGGTCCTGCACGCCGGGCATTTGGGCGTTGTTCAGGCCGATGTCGCAGTAAAGGGGCGATTGGGAGTTGTCGAAATCGAAGGCGAAGTCCCTGTAATTGTTCGCGTCGCGTCTCGGTATGGGGACGCTCGCCGACGTGTTGTTGATGTTGTTCGATTGTTGTAGATTGTTGTCCGGTTCCTGCTTGATCGTTATCCCGGGGTCCAGGAAGAAGTCCTTGCCAAAGTCGCCCATGGCAGGAACTGCAAGTTTATCGCATAATGATTACGTGATATTGCAGTATTTTGCATTTTTAATTGTTCATGGGAATTTAATAGTATATAAATGGTTCATTGATTGTTTTGTTTGCGAGTTTGTAAACAAACAATAAACTGACAGGTGTCATGGTGACATAAACGTTGTAATATAAATACTTGATGTTTGTTATTAGATTAAATAATTGTCAAATAAACGATTTTATTCATATCTCCACACGATTGTATCCAGAAAAACGAGACACAAAATAAAATTTGCTATATTTTACTATTTTTTTTTCATAAACTAAAATTAACATGACAGCTGTCATTTAACACATATTCCACAAACAACTCGATCATTCTCGTATATCAATACAAATATCACATCATTAGTAATTTTATCAACACAACATCAACAATGCGCAAATAAGGAAAATTAATTTACATTGTGCACTCGAAATTCCAAAAAAATCAATAACCATTTAATTGAGCGAGCGTGTAAATGTAAACAAAAACAATGCACGTTTTTCTTGTTTTCTTTCTTACGTCATTTCTCAATTAAATCGACTCACCTTATTAAAAACAAAACAAAAGACGACAAACAATCGAAGGGGATCACAACGATTTTCGTATCACTCGATCAATTCGAATCACAACACAGAGGAAACACAATCGTTTAACAAGTCCCCATTAAATTTAGCATGGATGACTAGACGAAAAATCCGCTTTGTTTATAATCTTACGCTCCGATTTCACAGCACACTATGCGAATTTTAATCGAAACACCACCGTTTCCAATTAATTAACAGATGTCACACGTATCCTATCCTACAATAAGAAAATATCAGTATTCGCGAACTCGATACGAAACAGGAACTGAGAAACTGCAATTTCACCTTCGACTGAAGCCGATAAATAAATTCCGAAATTAATTCGCAGGAGGCTCGTGCGGTGACGTCACGAATACACGTCCTTCAAATCGTGCACAAACAAAACACAAACACTGACACGTGACAATAACAACACAGGTTATTCCATAATAACGCCTCGATTTACGACGACTCGGATTGTGATTATGCGAATAAACGACAAGCCTGATATATGCTAATTAATAGTTTAGATGAGTAAACAGTGGAAAATAATTGGAAACAAATATACGTGAACTAGATTCGGAGAAATAAATGATGAACTCGTATAATCGTGTCTTACTTCACTTCACATTGTCATTTGCAATAAAGACACTGGTAATACGATAAAGGACTTGTTGATTTATGGTAATCACCCGTTTAGATGAAATTTGAGCTGCTAAAATAACGCGATACAATGCCAATTAGACTTTTTTATAGACAACACTTGTTTATCAAAATCGTAACTTGCTCGGGGCTTCGCTGTCACTACTGTCAATACTGTCAACAGTGTCATTTTCGTTGTACCAATACGAGTAATAAAATTTTACTAGAATCTTTTACAGCATATTAAAAAAAACGAGTAATTCATTTATTTATTAGAAATATTTTTGTGATATATGAATGAAATAAATGGCTCCAAATCTATGTTATATTTATATTAAGGGGTATAGATTTTCGTCCCAACACCTAAATAGGCAACCAACATTACAGATATGCAATTTATTGGATGCCTATAATAAGGAAGGGAGAATTGCCCTCTAAAGATTTGCTTATTCAATGGAATAATCATAGAGAAAGAAAGATGTCTTTTATTTTGTCTATGGGAATATTAGCGAAATTAATTGAAGGTTATCCTTATCATATTAATTAACCTTCATGTATAATTTGCACCCTCGTGCTCTATCAAATCCTGGGATTCCCAAAAGTTCCTCAAGAAACAGAATCAGAAACAAGATAATAAGAGGAAATATAAAAGGAGAAATTGACCGCATCCGTCGATAGAGTGCGCTGATAAAGCCTCGCTCATTTGATCCCGCTAATCCGATTCGAATGCCCCCCTCAAACGAGAAGAACAAAGAGGCACAGAAAGAGTAAGCGAGTAATCTGATATTCTTATCGCCGATGTGCATTTGTTCAATTACGTCATATGCGTACGTCACGTCAATCAAACAGCGCCCTCTTCTGATGCCCGCTCATTTATCAGAGTGTCGCTGATCGGGCGAATAGATCAAAGTTAATTCACCACACAAAATAGGGTGTTCAATTTCTACTTCTTTCTACTCTTTTTTTATAATTCTTCTAGTGGCACTAGGAACATTTTGAACATGGACATTACTAAATATGACGTAATTGTTATTTTAAAACGTACTAACTTTGTTTTTATCGACAATTTCCTGCTATACTGGATGGTTAATCAGCGTTCAAGTTACTATTTTAATCGAGTTTGATTCTAATTCATTTAGATTCCCATCTTATTCACGATGCGGAATTGGCGAAATGAACTTTTGCCAATCTGATTGAACCAGTTGCAATTTGATCCGAGCCAAAATAGGGGATTGGTAATGCCATTTCGGTTGTAAATCACATTGTCGATTCCCGTTTTGCTATTCCCTTTCATTCACGTTCAAAACATCAATTTTTCGAAGCTTAGACCTTCCTCCATCTTCGCCACTCTGCTCTCGTTTAATCGTCTATTCTTCGAACTCTTCCATCCTCACCTCCTCCTCTTCCAGCGATATCGGTCATCAATTAATGACCACCCTTCGATATTGTTGTGTTTATCTTAGCGCGATCGCGAGCGCGCTGGTTTTGTTCGTTCGGGCCCCACTCGAGTGAAGTGGCCTCTCTCGCAAAAGGGGCCGAAAGGGGTGGAAATGGTCGCGTTTTTATCGAACATCCATATGTCGAGTACAAGATACCAGATAGAAGGTCGTTTGAGCTACCACATACTGTTTTTATGGCGCTCTCGTCAGGCATACGATGGTGATATGATAATATTGTTGAAGAGCTCGTTGAATTATTTCTAGCATACGACCGGTACAAGGGGGTGAGATTTTTATTTTCGACACCGGGGTGAGATGTAATGAGTGAGATAAAGCCTTTTAGTTTCTGATAAAATGATGAATCTTTATTTGAATTTATTTATACACTTACTGTTAAATTATAAAAAATATTTAGGAGTTCTTCAAACTTAATATATGCCTCTCTAGTGGACCTAACGAGGTTAGATGTAATGCAATTATTCACACAAAAAACGCGTGTAAATAAATTGATATTGACACCCTCGAGTCGTTTAACAAGCGGGTGCAAATGGCTATATATAGAGAAGACAATTAGAGCCTCCAGCTAATAGAGGGTGTACGTGGGGTGGTATCCACCGGCTTGACAGATGGTCCGAACGGCGAATAAAAGGTCATATACATGACGTCATGTCGATGGTAATTTTACGTAGCTCTAAGTTTTATTAGCATTACGTTTCGGTGTAATTTTATTTCGATTCGATGCGAGAAACTATCGAGTTACAGCGAAAATGATTTTAGTTGGGGTGTAATGTGTAATTGAGCCGAGGGTGAATGTCATAATTTCATTTCTTATTAACAAATTTCTACAACATTGCACTTATCCTTTCCCCATGCATGCAATCTTCTATTTCTATTGTCAACTCCGCGATTATTTATTTATTAGTCAATAAAGCGCTCGTAATATAACAAGGAACTTCCAATTTGGATTAAACATCGTCGTTAAAAAATTCTAATGGCAATATTAAACCGACATGAGGCAACAATACCTACTCGTCTGTGCTCGTGTCATTGTCAATTGGGCGCGTGTCGATGATTCTAATCCGGGGAAAGCCCGTTTGTGGAGTTTTTTTAAGCGCTTCTGTGGCCCGTGGGAAAAGGGTTTAAGATTCCGGGCGGTTTTAAAGGTTGTTAGATTAGTTTAGAAGCGCGATGAATAATTGGTTTTTGGTTTGTATAAATTTTATTTTACATCAATAAAGTTACGAAAAAAAAAAACTCATAATTGCACAAAGGTAACGAAATAAATATTTGCAGAAAATAAAGAAAATATAATATCTGAATATCGACAAAAATAAATGTAAAAATAACAATAACTATGTACAAATTATACATGATTCAAATTTATTCGACTCGTTAATTCTTTTAATTTCGGTTTATGACTTTTATAGGATTTATTCGTTTCGTTTAATTAGTTTTATTTTATTTTTGGAAGTGTTTCATTCGTATACTTTTTAGGTAGGTAGATACAATATAATTTTCTTCGAAAATTGCTAGCTATAAAATTATACGGGATATTTCCTAGAAAAAAATATTTCGGCCAGTTATTCGAATTACAAATAATAATAAATTTCTGTTTGTTTTGTCAAATTTTCCAATTTTTTTCTCTAATTAATATCCCGTAATTCGTTCTAAATTGCTTCGTTTATTTCTAAAAGTATATACAATTCTACCAACAAGAAAACTGAAAATAAACCATTTTTTTACGATATGGTACTTTACAAAATATATTGATAGTCGTTGTGTAACCTTCAAGTTACTTTACATTTTTGTACATTATTTCTTTTTTATCATCTCTAAAATTATTATACTTACAAACATTATTAAATGGATAAATTTGTAATAGTCCCAGCTCTAAAGCGATATGTATTTCATCCGTGTTTTAGATAGAGATATGATTAAATAGTCCGAAAGAAAAATCTACGAGGGACAATCGATAAACGTGATATGCATATTTACTTATATAATTCGAATTAATTAATGTCCCCTCGTACAAATCGATTTATCACGAAATATTTTTTTTATATAGAGCATTTCCATGAGTAAATCGACTCTTCATAAGTATTTCAACGATCACAGTTCATTAGGTTCTTAGTCGAAAAATTAAAAATGTGCGAACGGATTTTTCTTTTTTCTCTAAGAAGAAATTTGTCCAATTTTACTGGAGAATTAATCTTGCGAAAATTGAGACAACCAAATAATTACGAAATTTTCTTAAATTTACTAAAGTGTATGTACAAATCGACGAATTCAAGGGGTTTTGGCAATGCTGTAATGGATTATCCACTTTATATAGGGTGTACCAAAAAAGTAACAGACATTGTTATTTCATAACTAGAGTAGAAGGAGTTTTGTTTCGTGTAGACAATAAATTTCCGAACATCAAATCACAGTAAAATTTTCGGTCCACCCTATATATCGAAGAAGTTCAATCCGAACAAGCGATGCCGAAATCCCAGTTTCGCTAGAGTCTTTGGTACGCGTTATGCACTGGAATACATCGGCGGCGTCGCGACGTCCCTATCGGGCGTCGAAGGGCTGGCGGTCGGGCGGTCTTCGGGCTATTTGGAGCCCACCAGGGCCGCGCTGGCGGCGCCGTAGCCCTGGGCGTTGCACGTGGGCAACGCGAACGGGTTCATCGAGGCGAACGGCGACGAGACCAGGCTCATTCCTACAACAGACGGGGTTTTTACGCCGGTTTTTAGGCGGGCAAATGGGACCAGCGGTGCTGATGGTGGAAGAGGGCTGGTGCAGGGGAGGCCGGGGAAGCCCTCGCCGGCGGGGCGAAGGCGCTTGTCTCTTTGTGCTGTGGGTGTTCGTGTTTGGTGTAGTGTGTCGCGGCGAAATTATATGAATTTAAATCCGAAGGAACTAAAAGCAGAAAAAGAACATTTGTTGCGGGTTCCTTTCGAAGCATCAGCAACTATTACTACCTTATAGGATTTTTAACTACGTCATCAGGTTCATCTACTGTACTATAATTCCACTATTTCTACTTTCTACTATACTGAGGATTATCAGGGCAGGATTGAACAATATGGATGAGTAGCAATGATGAAATGTTAGAAGCTTGTATTCAGTTTTAGTCAAATTATTACAAATCGAAGAAGAATGAATACAAATCATCTCATTATGTACTTTCATGCAAAAAGTATACTAATAAGTAGAGCCGTAGAGCCTGATGAAAAATATGCAATATGCATGTGCAAAATAAAATTTTGAATTTTCCAATATATTTCGTCAAAAAATAATTAAAATACCTTAAACTTTCTCTTACTAAATATACAATGTTCTGAAGGATTCTGGAGCCTTCTAAATAGTTTTAGACAGTTCTAAATGGTTCCAAATAGTTTCAGATGATTCTGGAACGTTCTTAATGGGCTTAGACAGTTCTATATATGATTCTGGAGCGTTCTAGCAAAATGTTTCTGGAGCATTCTAAATGGTTCTCAACCATTCTAAATGATTTTGGAGCCTTCTAAATGGTTTTAGACAGTTCTAAATGGTTACAAATAGTTTCAGATGATTCTGGAACGTTCTTAATGGGCTTAGACAGTTCTAAATGATTCTGGAGCGTTCTAGCAAAATGCTTCTGGAGCATTGTAAATGGTTCTAAACCGTTCTAAATGATTCTGGAGCCTTCTAAATGGTTTTAGACAGTTCTAAATGATTCTGGAGCGTTCCAAATAGTTTTAGACAGTTGTAAATAATTCTGGAGTGTAAAAATGGTTCCAGACAGTTTCAATTCTATTTCAATTCTATTTCTATTGTATTCTATATTTCTCTTCTATTGCTCTAATAAGTGATATAGTCTGAAAGTGGGCATTGTATATGTATGGTTGTTTCTGATTTTTCATCGAGCATATTTGCATATATTGTAGGTTTTTAGTGCATATTTGCATGCATATTTTGCCATCTCATAGTGCATATATTTTCCAAGCTCTATTCTAATAACTTATAAGGATATTTGTCTCCGATTCCACCACCACCCCCAAAAAACATAAATCAACAATACTTACTAGGGGCGGCATTGAAAATCCCCGCCGACGGAGATCCCGGCAGCATGTTCGACAGCTGAGAGGTGGTACTGGTGGGCGTCGTACCGCCGTACCCGCCGTTTATGTTACCGCCGCCGCCGCCGCCTCCGCCGCCGCCCGTGTAAGAACCGCCGCCGTTCGAAGAGTGAGGCGTCGACGCGTTGGAGCAGTAGCCGCCGCCGCCGCGCGGCGAGACGCTGCTACTTTGCGTCCGACCCCCGTAGTCTTCTAAAAGAAAAACCCTAGGGTAAGAAATCGACTGTAAGTGATCGAATTGTACACAAAAATTTTTGATTTTTGGTCTGTTTTCGGCTCTTTTAAAATACCAGATAGTGCTGCTTTAAACATTATAGTATGTATACGAGGCGTATGCGAAATGATTTCCACGAATAATTATATCAATAATAGCAACTCTATCTGGTTTTTTAAGTTTGGTAGATACAAATTTTGTAGTGAAATTAAATGCGAAGAAGCTAATTACGTTCGTTGAAAACACGAAAGAAAAAAAAAAGAAGGAATCTTACTAGAGCATCTACTAAGCATAAATCTGAAGCAAGGAAGGACAAGCACCTTCTGTCCACTGACCGTTTCCGTTGTCCTGCACGCTGACAGCGAGTTGACCTGTGTAGGCGTTGAACGTGGAAGTCATGCCGTTGTTGCCCATCGTGGGCGATCTGGGCGCCGATAGGGACAGTTGGTTGTTCCTGGGCATCGAGTAGAGGGCCTCTGCTAGGTCTGCGGCTCGTTTCAGAATGATTTCCTGGAATGGTGAGAGGGTTTAGATGCGTTTTTTTTGTGTGGATTTTGCTTCGTTTTTTAGTTATTTTTAGGAAAAATTGCAATAGTTTTTCTTAAAGATTATTTGGTATATTTCAATTTTTTGAGATATTTATGAAATTTGTGTGAATTTTGATGTTTTGATGAAAATTTCACTCTCATTCACTCTCTTTTTTATCATTTTTATGAAATTTTCATCAATTTTGATCATTCTTCCATTAAAATCCTAATTTTTTTACTTTCTCTGTTTTTCCCTTTTTATGAAATTTACATCAATTTTTTGCTCATTTTATTTTATGAACATTTCACTCTCATTCACCCTCTTTTCATCATTTTTATGAAATTTGCATCAATTTTGCTCATTCTTCTATCAAAATCCCAATTTTTTTACTATTATTAATTCTCTGTTTTTCCCTTTTTATGAAATTTGCATCAATTTTTTTCTCATTTTATTTTATGAAAATTTCACTCTCTTTTCATAATTTTTATGAAATTTGCATCAATTTTACTCATTCTTCCATCAAAACCCAATTTTTTTCACTTTCATTAATTCTCTGTTTTTCCCTTTTTATGAAATTTGCATTAATTTTTGCTGATTTTTCTATCAAAACCTCAAAATTTTCAAATCAATTCATTCTTGTTTTCGCTCTTTTAAATGGTTCTAAACCGTTCTAAATGATTCTGAAGCCTTCTAAATAGTTTTAGACAGTTCTAAATGGTTCCAAATAGTTTCAGATGATTCTGGAACGTTCTTAATGGGCTTAGACAGTTCTAAATGATTCTGGAGCGTTCTAGCTAAATGCTTCTGGAGCATTCTTTCGCACTCTTTTTCGTCTTTTTTTATGAAAGTACCTTCAGTTTTAATCATTTCTGGACATCTGAACCAGACTATCTGGATGATATACTTTTATGCAATATACAGGGCGAGTTTTCAAACCGGGGTAGGATATAGGGTAGCCCTAATTAAACAGAATATCCCACTATCTGGATAAGCTACGCTTTTGTATTAACATATCTACTCACTTTGGGTAATTTTTCCGGATCTCCGGGATGTCTTGGTATAAGTTTCTGCAATCTTTGGAAACCGTAGTCTATTGTGGGCTCGTTTAATGCTGGAAAATCGCATATTTTTTTTATTAAGAATACTAACACAGCAGGAATAGATAAACACTTACATACGTATACAAATCTACCGGGTGCTCCTTTACAAAATTGCTTGGATTTATACGAAAGCGTCACTTCCACGACGCCTGGAATATGCCTCGGAGGTGTCTGGACTCTTATCGCGTGCGGTGTTATTAACTATAAGAAAAAAAACATGATGAAGTCATGATGAAGCGTTCTAAACAGTTCCAGACAGTTCCATTCACTCTCTTTTTGGCGCAAAATAGACTTAGAAAACACAAAAAAAATCTTACCTCGCTCCACACCAGCATGGTCCCGAAAACGACCTGCAGCCCATCGAAGAAGTTATCGCCCACAATGATAACGGTGGATCCGCCGGCGGTCCATCCCTCGCTGGGGCTGATCGCTTTTATACAAGGGGTGGCCACCGGCAGGGGCGGGTACAGTCCTGGAAATTGGCCTGTGCACATCATATTGATGTAACCTTATTATTCAAGAAAAATATTGCTTATTTTGTTTGCGTGCAAGGCTAAGTTCGTCGCTTTCTATATACCTATTGCAATTCCATCATTATCATTCGCTAAACTCTAGTGTTTTAATCCCGGTTTGGTTGTTTGTTTAGTTGATATTTTTATTATATTAGGGTTGGAAAACGACAAACTTATTAATCACTATTGAACGCACTCCCTCGAATAAGACTTATTTAATTCATTTACTTATTACTAAACGTTTCTATTCTATGTATATGTATAGGGTGTTAATTAATTGAATGCCGATACTTCAGGATGTGAATATTTGATTGATTTTAAGAAGAAAAGTTTATATCATTGTATGTCCTAAACCTCTTAGTTTTCAAGCTGCAGGGTGCTAAAATTTTAGAAAAAAAATAACTTTTCTATCATAATTTTCTTATTACTCCAGTTATTTTTAAGAAATTTTGTATACACTTTTTAATTATTAAGGGACATTTTTTGAGGCATAAGATTTTTTTAAATTTTCACCAGTGACGTCCGTACGGGGTTTGAACTGAATATGTTTGAATAAAAAATGGTACACCACTGATTTTTCTAAAAACTAAAATTATTTTTAAAATCCTCATTTATTTTGTAGCAAATTCGGTCAGAAGACTTATTTTCGTACGACGCACCATTTTCGCATAAAAAAATAAAAACCAAAACCATTTTTTCCCAAGTTCATTTTGAGACTGCTTTTGATATTTTGTTGAAATTTGATAGGCGCCCACCATGCAAGAAAACACTTTTTTTGGGGATAAAAATTAATTTTCTACTATTATCAGTGACATCCACGTCCGAAATTTCATAAAAATATCTGCCGTAATAAGAAAATTATGACAGAAAAGTTATTTTTTTTTCTAAAATTTTAACACCCTGTAACTCGAAAACTAAGAGGTTTAGGACATACATTGATATAAACTTTTCTTCTTAAAATCATCCAAATATTCACATCCTGAAATATCGACACCCAACTAATTAACACCCTGTATGTACCTATTCGAAAGAATGCATTATAAATTGTAATTATAACAAAAAAATAGTCTACAAATAACGACTAAATTTACTTAACGAATTGAATCTTGTATGGCGATTGGGAGGAAATAAAACGGGCCAAACTCGATTTTCCGGAGTCCCGAAAATCCAAGAAATAAGGGAAACAACGCGGAATATTAACCGAGCAAAGTAGGCGAGGCGCGACGACGCGTGTTTCGCTTGTTTCGCGCGAGACGAGGGAAATAACGATACACGGAAATGTACAGGGTAGAAGAGCGGGATAAATAGGGGTTGTCTGTAGATTAATGAACGAGAAAGATAAATTGTTTTCTACTGGTATACGACCGAATATTACAGGAGTTTTCATGCGAACAAAAAAGAAACTTAACTTATAGGAGGTTATAAGTTATAACTCGGGGTAGTTAAATTAGTTTGATTTAGTTAGCCCGAGAAATAAAATTCCGCTATCCATTCGAAAAGACATAAATTCGAATCCCCGAAAGTGTCTACCGTTTCCTTTTCCACTTTTGCGCTACCCTTGACATTTCCACTTCTTCCTCCACTGAACTGGATCGCCAGCCAATTTTACAAAGTTTCGGGATCGCGACTAAAGGCCTGCATACAAACAAGAAGAAGTTTCCATCGATCCGGCGTTGCCAAACTTCCAACTAGGTAAATACGAGGGTATTATGAAAAGTTTTCGACCTTACAATGAAACGCCGCGATTTTCGGTTGAAAAAAATTGCGTTATTCTACTTATTAAGTCAAAATCTTTAGTATCTTTAGTTAGAGACAGTTCTAAATAATTTTGTAGAGTTTTAGCTGGTTCTATAGAGTTCTAAATGGTTCTAAACAGTTCTAATTGAGCGTTTTAAACAGTTTCAAATTGATTCGGAAGCGTTCTAAATGATTTTAGACAGTTCTAAATAATTTTGGAGCGTTCTAGATCGTTCCAGACAGTTCTAAATGATTCTGTTTAAGTTCTAAATGGTTTTGGAGCGTTAAAAATAGTTTTAGACAGTTCTAAATAATTTTGGAAGCGTTTTAAATAGTTCTATAGAGTTCTAAATGGTACTAAACAGTTGTAATTAATTCTGAAGCGTTCTAAACAGTTTCAATTAATTCGGGAGCGTTTTAAATGATTTTAGACAGTTCTAAATAATTTTGGAGTGTTCTAGATCGTTCCAGACAGTTCTAAATGATTCTGTTTAAGTTCTAAATGGTTTTGGAGCGTTACAAATAGTTTTAGACAGTTCTAAATAATTTTGGAAGCGTTTTAAATAGTTCTATAGAGTTCTAAATGGTACTAAACAGTTGTAATTAATTCTGGAGCGTTCTAAACAGTTTCAATTAATTCGGGAGCGTTTTAAATGATTTTAGACAGTTCTAAATAATTTTGGAGCGTTCTAGATTGTTCCAGACAGTTCTATATGATTCAAACCGAAACTTTTTACCTTACCCTCGTATAAGCTCGAATAATCCTCACAAAAAAACGAGCGGAACTTTGCTCGACTTTCTTATAATAAAGCGAACTAGAATTGGCTTTATTTGGAGCAATTATTTCATATCCCAATAGAACCGACAACGTCGCCGAGATAACTTACACCTAGCCTCCTAGATGAAACCGTTCCGGCGTGAAATTCTCCCCCCACGAAAAGGAAAAGCGGCGCTTTTCTCCTTCCGCTTTCCACTCTCTCTCTCCACATCGACGATCGCGATGATTTGTAGGTAATATCTCACCTGGGCGAACGAGCGCGCCCCCTTTCGTCGCCGGATCGAGATATATCGGGAGCAATTAATTCCCTTTGGGGGGGTTCAAGGGGGTCGGAAAAGCGTCGGGAGACGCTGGAAAACGCGAAAACGCGACGGGGTCAGTTTTTAAATCGGAGTTGAAGACTTTCGGTGAGATGCGGGGGAGACAATTGTAAATGGAAATTGATTTTTTTGTGGAGTAGGTCGTTATTTGTAGAAAATTAACTACTATTATTAGTAATTAGCAATAGATTTCGGTATATTAGAGATGATATTAAAAATGTATTATATTTACCTTCCGTGGGATCCAATCGTTTCGCTCTTCTTCCGTGTTTCGAATTGTTATGTACAAACATGTTATCTGATATAGCTAAAAGTGGACCGTCCACGGCCACCTGCGTCGATATCACGACCTGTAAAAGCGAGAAATAATTAGATTTATCTGGGATAAATTTTGTAATAATTTTAAAATATGACCCGTTACAAATTGGAAATCTCTTCCCTCGCACACGCGTCAATTCCGCCCGCTCAGAAATTCCTTATTAAATAATTCACGTATGCAAAATTGCTCACATTTACGTGGAAAATGAGATATTTTTCCTCCGCACCTTGCAGTCCTCTGTCTTATACTTTCCCCGTATGATTCCCGGGCAGGAAATAAAATTCTCCCGGTGCTCTGATAAATCCACGTGCATGGAAATTGAAATAAATATCTCCAGCGCGCCTCGAGCGCCACTCGCAGGTACAGAATTATTATATGATGTCGTAGATTTTTGGAGGGAAACTTTCGGAACGTCCCTCGTAAGGAACGGACTCTCGAGTTATATATCAAATTATTTTTTTTTTTCGATATTAGTCAAAAATAATAATCTTAAAGATTTGCATAATTTTTTTTTTGACGAAAAACTCGAAATGTTTCGAAAATGAGAGATTTTTGGAAACAATTTAAACTGCATGAGTGGAGGGAAATCTTTTCACTACAAAATTTTGTGTTTGTATCTCAATTAGTTTTCGAGATAATCGGGTTTTTTGTAGAGTTGCGTTGCGTTTCTATGGGAACTATGACAAAAAAGTCGAAATATCTCCGGAATTTGTGTCTTTTTATAAAATCTTTCAAACTACAAAGTTGTAGAGAATTTTCTCCTCTATAAATTGGCGAAAACTCCGTTTTTCTATCCGAATCAGTTTTCGAGATAATCGGGTTTTTTTGTAGAGTTGCGTTGCGTTTCCTTAGAAACTTGACAAAAAAGTTGAAATAACTCGGAAATTCGTGTCTTTTTTCGAAATCACTTAAATATACAAAGTTGTATAGAAAAATTTTTTCTCTACAAATTGACGAAAACTCCGTTTTTCTATCCGAATTTGTTTTCGAGATAATCGTTTTTTGTTGAGTTGCGTTGCGTTTCTATAGGAACTTTATAACAAAAAAGTAGAAATATCTCGAAAATTTGTGCCTTTTTATAAAATCATTCAAACTACAAAATTATAGAGAATTTTCTCCTCTACAAATTGGCGAAAAGTCCGTTTTTCTATCCGAATTAGTTTTCGAGATAATCGTTTTTTTGTTGAGTTGCGTAGCGTTTCTATAAAAACTTTATGACAAAAAAGTCGAAATATCTCGGAAATTCGTGTCTTTTTTTGAAATCACTCAAATATACAAAGTTGTAGAGAATTATTTCCTCTACAAATTGGCGAAAACACCGTTTTTTTATCTGAATTTGTTTTCGAGATAATCGTTTTTTTTTTTAAGTTGCGTTGCGTTTCTATGGGAACTTTATGATAAAAAAGTCGAAATATCTCGAAAATTTGTGTCTTTTTATAAAATCATTCAAACTACAAAGTTATAGAGAATTTTCTCCTCTACAAATTGGTGAAAACTCCGTTTTTCTATCCGAATTAGTTTTCGAGATAATCGTTTTTTTGTAAAGTTGCGTTGCTTTTCTGTAGGAACTTTATGACAAAAAAGTCGAAATATCTCAGAAATTCGTGTCTTTTTTCGAAATCACTCAAACTACAAACTTGTAGAGAATTTTCTCCTCTACAAAACGGCGAAAACCCCGATTTCCCATCCGCACTACTTTCCGAGATAACCGTCGGTTATTCGCAACGACCAACATCCCGACCGTCCCCCGTATAACCGGCGGACACGCCGCCTCGCCTCGCACAAGGAGGGCGGCCATTTTGCGGGCAAGGTAAACTGCGGAAGTGCATCGCAAGACAGACTCCTCCCTGGGGACGTACGCGCTCCCAAGGGAGTCTTCTCCCCCTGGCGGCGGGCGAACACACGCGTTCCCATGGGGACGGATCGACGGGGGGGCGGCTTTTTTGCCGCCTGCCGCCGCTACTGTGCCGCACTTTCCATTTTACCCGGTCCGACGGCCGACGGACATTTTATCCCGTCTACGGGGCGCGCGCGAGAACTTCCACTTACTTGGAATCGCCTCATGTCGCGCGGATTGCCGGCGTTCTTCAAACAATTCTGGTTGCATTTCAGGAAAAACTTGAGGAAGAATCTGAAACAAATTTGTAAATCAATTAGTAACTCGACGTACTTCTATCATACGTTTAATTAAGCGAGTTAAGGGAAATAAGTTGGGTCGGAAACTTGGACCGAATTCCTGCAAGTTTTCCGTAATGAATATCGCAGAGCTTAATCTAGTTACAAACGGGTCCTCTTCGTTCTCGAAGGGTTCTCTTTATATCGTGTTAGTCCGCTTTACCCGAGGCTATCGCCTATCTATTTATCTTGTACCGAAGCTATCTTACTCCCTACCGCTTGTTCGGAGTATACACCAGCAGGAACCGGTGGCGGAATCGCCGCAGGAACTCGCAGAAAGACTCGAGGAATTATACACAGAGGCGTTTTAACGGTCAGTTAGTTCGAAAACTTCCCAACTTTTAATATCGCAAACTTGGGAATTTATCGGCGATAAAGATAAAACCGATGCGACTAATTCTGATCTATTTAGCGCACGTGTTAAAAGCGTTAAATCCGTTAAAATTTACGTACAACCCCAGTAAACGTAAATAAAAGCGAAGTAAAAGCGAAAGTAAAACAGTTTTAAACCGGGTGAGATGAAATAAGGTTTATACGATCATATTCATGTCCTGCCATAAATGCTATTACCCCAGAAGAGTTCTTATAAAGTGAGTTACTAGCATGTATGCCGAAGGAATGAAGTGCACACAAAACCACGTAAACTGGACTAAAAAAAATAACAAATCAAATGTTTGTATAAAGTTTGTATAAAATACACGGCGGGAATTTAATTCGCTTCGGTATTGTCGTCGCGACGCCCGAGCGGCGTCTCGAAACTTTCACTCAATTTCTCGTCGACACTCCGGCATTATGAATCGCTTATAAATTATATTTCCGGAGTGTTCCGGAGTGTAGCGAGCGGAGCGCGCCCGGAAGGTTCTTGCGTAACTAACTTAACGGGAAAAACAGCCCCTGCGAGACGGTTCGGTTTGTGGTTTCGTTCTTGTTTACCATCCCCGTTTCGCCGGGACGGAGGCGTCGCGGCGCTCATCTGGCCGCTTGATTTGACTTTCTTTTTCTATCGATTATTATTCACTTTTATTTAGATGTGTACCTGATGTATTCAATTTAGAATTGGGTTTATATAGGAACTTGACAAAAAAGTTGAAATATCTCGGAAATTTGTGTCTTTTTTCGAAATCATTCAAACTACAAAGTTGTAGAGAATTTTCTTCTAAACAAAATGGCGAAAACTCCGTTTTTCTATCCGAATTAGTTTTCGAGATAATAGGGTTTTTTTGTAGAGTTGCGTTGCGTTTGTATAGGAACTTTGTGACAAAAAAGTCGAAATATCTCGGAAATTCGTGTCTTTTTTCAAAATTACTCAAATATACAAAGTTGTAGAGAATTATCTCCTCTACAAATTGGCAAAAACTCCGTTTTTCTATCCGAATTAGTTTTCGAGATAATCGCGTTTTGTTGTAAAGTTGCGTTGCGTTTCTATAGAAACTTGACAAAAAAAGTCGAAATATGTCGGAAATTCGTGTCTTTTTTCGAAATCATTCAAAAAACAAAGTTGTAGAGAATTTTCTTCCATACAAATTGGCGAAAACTCCGTTTTTCTATCCGAATTAGTTTTCGAGATAATCGTTTTTTTTGTAGAGTTGTGTTGCGTTTCTATAGGAACTTTATGACAAAAAAGTCTAAATATCTCGGAAATTCGTGTCTTTTTTCGAAATCACTCAAATATACAAAGTTGTAGAGAATAATCTCCTCTATAAATTGGCAAAAACATTGTTTCTTTATTCGAATTTGTTTTCGAGATAATCGTTTAGAATCGTGTTGTAGTCGATGAAACAGTGAATGCAAGATTTAGATACAAAAAAAGGCAAATTGGTTATGAGAAAAACTTGAAATGTCTCGCTAAGTTTTTGCATCTACATACTAACAATTCTAATGAACAGTAGTGAAATAATCCACTATAAATTATTTGTATAACATCATACATTAATTCCCTGGATTGTCTGGACTAGTTAAAGTATATCATTCGAGTTTGATGGGAGAAAACATTGCGAACCGATTCGAACTAAATTATGTACGTGCAAAATGGTCCTCACCTCGTTGTATGTAAGCAAAAGTCGTCGACTAATCCTTGGAATAGGAAGCGCTGAATCGGCAACGCCCTCTCTAATTCTCCTTTTCCAGAGACAAATAGCGGTATTTAGGATGCGATAACGATCCTTCGGTCACGGTAAAGAGGCATTTCTCACCATACGAATCGTCTAATTCGAGAACTATACCGTTCGAAATCGGATTTTTTTGTTCCTTAACTTCTCGAATCTAATTCCGTGTTTATTCAGCTGAATTACGCCGAATTTTCCGGTTTTATTTCGTCCTAACTTAAGATACTTTTCAATTGTACCATATTAAATCAATTACCAATTACTTTAAGCTATTTATAGAGGAAAAACGGAGGAATAACGCAAGGCGTCATATTTCAAAGGTAGATCCTCGTGAGTTATTTATTCATCATTCAAGGCCCTCTCAGACGCTATACCCTAAGTACAGATCCTTGCGGTGCACATGTATTATGTAAATCCGCTTTTCCTCGACTGTCATCAATTAATAAACCCCATATCAAGAGGATTCAATAATTAATGGGCGCCTCCATTCCGCCACGGAAGTCTTACCTTACTTCTTACGCTTAACGTCTTACGTTATTTGCCCCGTTAGATAACGAACGTGTCCGGTTTAGGGGGGTTTAGGGGGGATTTACAATGAAAATTCGATAGAGCATGTTTGCAATTTAATCGAAATTATAGTATAGTAGGAATTTTAAATTATTAAAATGCCCTACTCGAAATTAAAATTATTAATTTCCCGCTTAATTAATTGAGTATTAATACTTCATGATGTGAATATTTGGATGATTTTAAGAAGAAAAGTTTATATCAATGTATGTGTTAAACCTCTTAGTTTTCGAGCTACAGGGTGTTACAATTTTAGAAAAAAAAAAAACTTTTTTATCATAATTTTCTTATTATTACTCCAGTTATTTTTAAGAAATTTTGTATACACTTTTTTGAAGGAATATTTTTTGAGGTAAAATTCCAGATATTTAATGATAAAAATATTTGAACTAATAAGAATATTACGATAAAGTTTTTTTTCCTAAAACTGTAACACCCTGTAGCTCGAAAACTTAGAGAGTTAGGACAAATATTGATATAAACTTTTCCTTTTAAAATCACTCGAATTTCACATCATGAAGTACCGCCACTCAATTAATTAACCCCCTGTATAGTTTTAAACAATACGCAATGCAAACAAACAAATACCATTCATTCATCGGTAAGGCCGATGACGAAAAACAAAACCCCGAACGAATTACACGCTGAAATTGTCGGGATTGTCATTTTGAAATTCGCATTGCGAAGCCCTTTCGCTCGTAAAACGGGAACAAAAAGGACGCGAAACCGATATGCAGTTAACGCTATACGGCCTTGGGCAATCAATTTCGTATTTTCGACGAAATTCGGCGCTTTCCCCCGCACCGGAAAATCTCTCCAGCCCAACAATTTACACAAGCGAATATGGTCAATGGGTGGAAATTCGTTATTTCGCTGGAAAATGCACACAAAAATCGTACTAAAACTTCACCTGCAACACCGCGCGATTCTTAGCAATACCACGGCCAGTTTCGCATCAACCGAATGAAAACTTCCCATTTAACCGGTTAGGTAAAATAAATAGCATCCTAATTGAGTGTCGGGGCCCGTTTGTAAACGACAAACGTAACGTAGATCAGGCGGGGAGCCCCGAATAACCGGCGAACTTTCGCGGATAGATAAACATTTCTGGCGTTCGGCGAGTCTCGTACACCTTCGGCGTCGCGCTCCCTGCGGTATTGACGACCAGCTCAGGGGAGAGAAGAGTCAATACCTATCCCTGGGGAACCGGCTCGATTCCCCCGCGGGAGCCGGAGCTCCTCTCGCCTACCGGGAGCGGTTCTTATTTATACCACGAAACGCCTGCAAAGGTCCAAACAAAAGCGCCTTGTAGTTGTTTTGAAGTTGGTTTTTGGGTCGATTTTGAAGCTGAGAATAGTTTTAGAGCGATTTTTGAAGCGGTTTTGAAGCTGAGAATAGTTTTAGAGCGATTTTTGAAGCGTGATTAGAGTGGTTTTAGAACTGGTTGAAGAAAGCTTTTAGAGTGATTTTCGAAGCGGTTTTGAATTAGTTGTGAATCGATTTAAGGACAGTTTTAGAGCGATTTTTGAAGCATCATTAGAACGGTTTTGGAAGGTTTTTAGAGCGGGTTTGAAGCGATTGTTGAGCAATTTTTAAGCGATTTGGAATCCGGCTTGAATCAGTCCTGAATCTATACTGCTCCACAAAAGTTAAGGAAGTTCGCAAATGTTGAGATTAATTTAAAAGTTGCAGGTTTTTTGATCGCCAAATTAGTATGAGTTGTAGAGGTAAAGGCAAAAAATCTACTCAGATATGAGAGAAAACATTTTTTTCGCATATTTGAAAATTTGTAACTTTTAAAATAATCGCAAAAATTGCGAACTTCCTTAACTTTTGTGAAACAGTTTATTATAGAACAATTTATGGAGCGATTTTTGAAGCGTGATTAGAACGGTTTTATAACCGGTTTTAGAAGGTTTTTAGAGCGATTTTATAGCGGTTTGGAATCGGTTTTGAGACGATATTGAAGCAGAGAATTGTTTTAGAGTGATTGAAGCGATTATTAAGCAATTTTAAAGCGAGAGAAACGCCTACAAAAGTCTAAATAAAGGTGCCTTGTAGTTGATAAAATGCCGTGAGGTACTCGTAGAAGATGCTTGTGGACTTGGAAGAGAATCAAAATTGTGTAAAAATTGGTAATAGAATTACTAGTTGTGTTCTAAATTGTTTATTTTATCTAGTTTATTAGCGATTGTACAAAAATACTGAGATTTACGTTTGCTGTATTTGAGCGTTAAATAAAATACGATCTCGGTAGAATCTAGCAGGAAACGCTGGAAGAAGC